ATAGGAATAGTCAGAAATATTCGTTGAAATATATCGGAGTATTGAAATAGCAACATAGCAGTTAGCAATAGCAATAGTAATAGCACTTAGATTTATATACCGCTTCACAGTGCTTTTACAGCCCTCTCTAAGGGGTTTAAAGAATCAGCCTATTGCCCCCAACAATTTGAGTCCTCATTTTACCCATCTCGGAAGGATGGAAGGCTGAGTCAACCTTGAGCTTGGTGAGATTTGAACTGCCAAATTGCAGACAGCTGGTAGTCAGCAGATGTAGCCTGCAGTACTGCATTCTAACCATTGCACCACCATGGCTCAAACATGTTTCAAATGTTTTGAAAAGTCTGTCTTTCTGTTTTTCTAGATGGGGTTCCACCTCTGTATAGTAGGTTGGCTTTTTAACCGTACAGCCGGTTACCCAACAGTATACCCAAGTCAGAACTGTGGTACTCATCATGTGGGCATTGTAAACTATGGCTATCGAAACAACGTCAGTGAAAAGTGGGATGCTTACTGCTATCAAATTCAAGGTGAGAAAATATATCAGCTTATAAGTGTCATATCATTTATGCCTTCCCCTGCATAAGAACTCTTACAAAATCTTAAACTTTGTCTCCATTGCAAATGCCGCCAAATGTTGTTTCTTTTTCAGAAGTACAGTGCAATTGTAGGGATGGGTACATTGGAGATGGCTATTCCTGCACAGGCAGCCTTTTGGATGTGCTGGCTCAACAGGCAAACTTTTCAGTCTTCTATTCAGTAAGTTTTAGTAGTACCTTCATCCTGTAGTCTTGTTGCTATGGATATATTTGTGAATGACCATGAAACACAAGCAGTAATTATGAAGATGATGGTATCTTTAAAAAAATCACTAGTGATAATTATTCCTTCCTTCAAACCTGGTTCAGATACATCTATATTTCACACGCTGTTATGACAAATACCGCTAAGTGCTCTGAATTTAGGGTAAAAGGTTTAGAAACTTTGGAGAAAAAATATTTATTCATATCAAAAATTACTAATGTGTAAGTTGATGTTCACTCAATGTTGACTGCTTTCCAAATCTTTTTGAATTTGAATTCAAAAAGTACTGTAGTCTTCACAGACTGAATCTGGGTTAGGCTTTCAATATGTTATTTCTAGACTTACATGTTCTTGCTACATATTGATTTTAAAATGTATGTGAACTGCAGCTTAAACGTGTTGTGTTTCTTTGCTGCTGGGCCGGCGCAGTGGTTAGAATGCAGTATTGCAGGCTACTTCTGCTGACTGCTATCTGCCAGCAGTTTGGCAGTTCGATTCTCACCAAGCTCAAATTTGATTCAGCCTTCCATCCTTTTGAGGTCGGTTAAATGAGAATCCAAATTGCTGGGGGCAATATGCTGACTCTGTAAACTACTTAGAGAGGGCTGTAAGGCACTGTAAAGACGTATATAAAGCTAAGTGCTATTGCTATTGCTACTTCCTCCAGCTTGCCTTAGACTGATCTATACCACTCATGCATTTTTTTGCAGGAGAAAGTTTGAAATGTATGGTGTTTTCTTAAGGGTGGGATAAACATAACTTGTTCTTAATAAAACTAATTTATGCAACTTTCTGAATGCTCCACAATAGTGTCTCATTATTCAGATCAAATACCAGAATTAATGAAACTATATTCAACTATTCCTTAAAGGATCCGTCACCTGTCTTTTATTTCTTTAAAGGGAAAAGATAAGCTACATTGAAAAACAAGTGGGAGATTAAAATTAAATTTTGATCTGCCAAATTGCTGTTATCCACCTACTTTTACCCAGGGACAGGGTATTGTTTTGCAAATGTCCCTCAGTTTAGGACGGGTGGAAATTCAAATTTGCTATTTCCTTTAGGTGCTGCTTAGAAGTGGTCCCTTTGATATATTTGAGTTGAAGGTAGTAATACTCCTGGTTAATCATGTTTTCCTTCCTCTTTTTCAGATAATTCTGGATTTTGCTAATACCACTCAAGAAGGAGTAGATTTTTTAAATTTCCTCTCTGAGGACATCGCATATAAAACTCTTTTTGTACCCTTGAACTCTGGCTTTGGCGATAATACAGTAAGGATCACAAAATGGACAGTGGCGGTGCGGTCTTAGTTGGAAGGGGGAATAATTTTGTGCCATCTTAAAAACAACAACAAAAACAAATAATCAAAAATAAATTGAGTCAAGTTAATATCTTTGATGTACAGCCTATGAGTTCCATGCAGATGAACTATCTGCCTTTGATTGGGCCTTATTTTCTAGTAAATCTATTAGTTGTAGCATAGCAGTAAATTCTGATTCTTTTAAAGCAACTGCAGAAGAAGTTAATGAATAAATATATATATTCCACTTCCTTATGAAATCCTGGTATTTTAGCTTTGTGATAGGATAGCAACTGGAAGAATTCTTATAATTTTCTCCAAATTTTTAAGTGCTTTGGTACTTTGGGAGGGCAAGGGCAGCTAAACTATGGTAGGGTTATTCATAGTAGGTTAAACTATCCCAATGTGAACTTTCAATGCAATTGTAATTAGTGTTTTAGTAAAAGCATTGAGTTTAGATAATCATACAGCACTCATACTTGCATTGTTTAAATGTGAATGGCTTCATCAGCAAAGAACACTGCGTAATATTATCAAACATAATCCTAATAGAACTCCAGATTATCTTCTCAATTGTCTGCCTTAAATCAAACAACCTTTAGTAATCAACAAAAGGGCAGGAAGAGTGTCTTAAAGGTTTTGTTTACATTTTCTGATTACTAAAATTGACTCCCAATGAGAAAAAGGAGAGAAATTCTCATAATATGCCAGTGCAAGGATATCCTGCATTAGAAGGACTGGAAACAGAATAGCTTTGCTGGCTGGNGACTTTGGACCACTGTGCTTCATTATATATATAATAGTTGTTTACTGTGCAGTAAAAATATTATCCATCCATTCTTACTTTGTAAATGCTTTCTAAAAGTTTTATAATTCATTACAAGTACCTGTATAATAGGAGGATGAGAAGTATTGCATCTTAGCAAAGGGGTCAGAATTGTGAAGATGGTATTTATATTGCAAATTTCATTGCACCGAAGAGCATTGTTAGTTTCTGTCTACAATTATTATATAACCTCAAAATCCCATTATTACTTAACAACTTGATTTTTCAAGGGTGGAAAGAAAAATACTGTGAATGCAATTAGCTTCAAGCTACATTGATGAGTGAAAAAAATACACTTCACAGCATGACAATTTTTTCAGTACTATACAATGCTTCCCGGAATACTAAGGCTTTATTAGGAAGATATACTTTTTAAAAAGTAACACTGCTTCAGAGTTGAAGTGGTCCAATGAAGTGGTTTCATGAAAAACAAATTCCACGAAGTAGAATTACTCATCCTCAAAAAACATTTCTATCAATAGAGCACAAATGGAAAACTGTATTAGGTAATGAAAACTTCCAACCTATTGCTACATATTATGTTACAGTTAAATTACAAGTATCTTGTAAATATGTATCAGGAGAGGAAGGACATAGCAGATCTGGAATAGACATTGCATAATTATTTCCTACTGTTAATATTGGGGAGCAGGGGGAGAACAAACAGAATAAAATCATTTTCTCCCTTCCTCCTTACAGCCATCTAGCAATGGTATCAATGAAGTAACTTCTTTGCCTTTGGTTATCTATGCTAGTAGTGGTATAGATGCTTCATTAAAATATCAAACAGTAATTGTTCTACCAAATTATGTAACAAATACATATAATACTTTTATTGGAAATATTTCCTTCATGCTGAGATCTTGCCTCGATTTGGTTCTACTGTCCACTTACAATCTTGCCAGTAACTTACCTTGTTTACATTTCAGGAACAAGCATACAAAAATATTCAAGTCACCTAATAAATTCCATTTCATATTGATGGAATCCTTCAAATGAATTCTGGCAAAGATTTGAAAAATATTAGAATTGCAATGTATTTTTTATTATAAAAAAGACCTAGTATCATTAGAGAGAAAAATAATAGTAGTTCATCCAAAATCTGTTATAGTTTTTAAACAATTCTTGACCATTTTTTAAAGCCAAGGAGCCTTTTGAGATTGTTGATAGTGATCCTTTGATTTAGCGGCAACATTTCTTTTGTTCAGACTTGGAAAGATGCAAGTCAGCCAACAGAGGAATAAAAGTGTTTCACAAGGCTAGCTCTGCCACCAACAATTTACGATAACCTGCTTTAGCTTGAAAAGGAGCTTGACACACAACCTTTTCTAGAGATATAAACACACAACTAGTTCTTCTGAGAGAAAGCCTTATAACTTAGCACGTTCAAATCACTTTCAACCTTGAAAGTACAATTCNTCTCCATGGATGCATGTAATACAACCAATATACTTACTTTCGCTTATCAGTAAAGAAACTGGGCTTATCTGCTTGCACAATGACCATGTCAAAAAGATCCTGCCAGTTTTTGCCAACCATGTATTTCATCCCTTTGTCGCTATAGGCAAATAGGGGGAAAATGTAAGTAACTCCAGTGGTTCACTTTCTTAAGCAAAATAGTAGCTACTCTCAAGAGTTCCTTCATACAGTATTTCTGATTATATGTCATTTAGTACACAAAGCAAGGAGCGCAGTTCCTAACTAACTTTGTTAGCTGGTAAGAATATGCGGCTTTTCATCAACTTGGGGATTAGTGGAGAATGGCATCTTGGCCCCAGTGTAAAGCTTAACTTTATAAGCATTTGGAAGGCCTTGTTCCCAGAAGTTTCTTAGGCGAAGTTCAAAGCCTTCTCCGTTTTCTGGGATTAGAAAATGAGGTACCACTAGTGGATTTGACCTATGCAGCCAGAATTTGCTATCAGCCCCGCTGTATATAATGGCCAACAACACTGAGACTCTCATAGGGATTACTTAAAGCAATTTGTAGGATTATAGACAACTAAGGAATGCAGGCACTGAACAAATACAGCCTTTGATTTGATGCATGTTTGGAGTTGTTGTCCTACCATCAGATAAAATAAAGAATGGTTTTTATGTCTCTAAACACTCCCATAACATTTACTAAGAACAACATTGTTTTATATTTCTCATTTTTTTACAACTGTTCCAAAACCTCTAAGAATGTGAGGCGGTATCATCTTATGAGAAGTAGGATATTGGGTATTCCAGAATATTAGAGACATAACAATAATATTATAGACAAAATAATAGCTCTTTCCAGTTTTTTTTAATATGAAACTTTAATTAAAGAGAGGGAAGGCTAACTGAGATATGAAAAACACATAGAGACCTAGCATTATAGCACAGTATGGCCTTAGTATGCTACAATGTTGAATCTTTGGGAAGTAAAGGATTCAACTTTATCATTTTTTAAAGTACCGTACATCTTTACAATTGTGAGAATTAAATTTTGAGTCAGGCTTGTATGAGAATGTGTAAAAATATTAACAGGTCACCAAACCGTATGATGCTATTAAGATAAGCTATTTTTACTGAATATTTTTAGTCCCCATATTTCTCTCTTAATGTCTGCACATGACTGAGAATTTCATCAAGATGAATGCATGCAAGTTAATACTTACACAAAACTAAAAGGACTGTTTGTGATGAGAAAGAGTTTTTTATTGTTGTTAACCAGCCTATTTAAGACAGCGTATGTTTCATCTCCATGAAGAATATATTTCTCTGCAAGAAACAGGTGAAGCTAAGCATAGTATAAACATTTGTATATTACAATGGTGAAAGATACAATTTAGTTGCATTTCACCTGGTGATAATGAAATAATTCATCTACAGAAAGTATGGGAGATCTCCAAAGAAGGAAGGCCCTCAAACCCCCCCCCCCAATCTCTGCTCTTAACTCACATTTCTTTTGCCAAGCAGAAAGTGACAATTAGATGATGTAAAATAATTGTGGGCAGCGTAAGAATGAAATTTCAGGAATTGACATCTCAGATGCTAAAATATTGCATGTGGGATGAGGCAATCCATCTCTTGAACTAGATTTGATTGCTCACATCTGTTCTGAACCACAGGAAGGGATCCATTGGGTGCAGGGCCTTTCTAATCTTCAACATCTAAACCAATTATGGTTAAAAACATTACCCACATAGCAATAGCAATAGCACTTAGAATTATATACTGCTTTACAGCGGTTTTCAGAGTCAGCATATTGCCCCCAACTACTTGGGTCCTCATTTTACCACCTCGGAAGGAGGGAAGGCTGAGTCAACCTTGAATCTGGTGAGATTTGAATTGCCAAATTGCAGGCAGCCAGCAGGCAGCAGAAGTAGTCTGCAGCACTGCAATCTAACCACCGCACCACTATGGCTCATAACGTAGTTATTGGATGAAAATGTTTTATACATAGATTGCAATGTACAGTAATTCTGTTAGGGAGAAAAGAAACTGCTTCTTTCTCTC